GCAGTAAACACCCACGATTGGGCCCTGACCGGTGTGGCTCAGTGGATAGAGCCTCGGCCTGCGGACTGAAGGGTCCCAGGTTCGATTCCAGTCAAGGGCATGGACCTTGGTTGCGGGCATATCCCCAGTGGGGGAGCGTACAGGAGGCAGCTGATGGATGTTTCTCTCCCGTCGATGTTTCTGACTCTCTCGCCCTCTCCCTTCCGCTCTGTAAAAAAAAAAACCAATAATATATATATATATGTTTAAAAATATATTTTATTGATTTTTTTTTTTTTTTTACAGAGAGGAAGAGAGAGGGAGAGACGTAGGAACATCGATGAGAGAGAAACATCCATCGGCTGCCTCCTGCACGCCCCCTGCTGGGGATGTGCCCGCCACCCCAGGCCTGTGGCCTGAGCGGGAACGGAGCCGTGACCTCCTGGTTCACAGGCTGACGCTCAACCACGGAGCCACAGGCGAGGGCCACAGACCCGGCCCGTGGGTGCAGCTGTCCCTCCGCCATCAGCCCGCGCGAGGGGCGAGCAACCCGGCGCTTCTGGTTGGGCATATCTCCCTGCGCTCGGCACTCCCTCTGCGCGATGCATGGAGGGTTCTCCCGGGCACCCTGGATGCTTTGAGTTCCGTGATCGCTGCAGGGATTGGGGGGGGGGGCGGGCGGGAGGTGACAACCATGGAGCCCCCTCCCTCCGCCCCCCACATCCCGTGAGCATAAATGATGGGCGATTCCGTTTAATTCCCTGGAGCGTGGGCCGTGGAATCAGGAATGGGCTAATCGGCTGTTCCCCCCCACCGTGATTTATCCATCGGGTTCGGTGATCATTCATAAATGGACGTGCTTTTTGCTTTTTTTTTCTTTTTTCCCCATAACATCTGCCGTGGACGCTCTCCTTGTCCCCCAGGGCATTTCGCTCGAAGGCGGGGGTGCAGTCCCGGTCGCTGGGGCTTGATGGGGGTGGGGAGGTGTCTGCGGGGTGAGGGGGTGGGGGGTGAGGGGTGGCTGTGAGCTCGGGACCAGGAGGCTCACCGCCGAGGTGACACTGGGCCACTCGGTGCCTTCGGACAGCTTTCGGCGGGGGTTCACCCCCTGGGAAGGGGGCCCCACAGCTGCGACATCAAACCCTCGGGGAGGGCGGCAGCGTGCACCTGCCCTGCCGGACGCCGGGGGGTTGGGGGGGTCCCGGTCCCCTCAAAGCCCCATTGTGCGCGGAGAATGGGCCCCTTGTCCCTCCGCCGCTGGCCTGGCTCCTGCCGCCGCCCCTCACGCAGACCGGAGGGCGCGCGGTGTGCTTCCTTCCTCTCTAAAGACGCCAGCCGGCGGCAGAGAGGGCGAGGCGGGCCCGTTTGTCACCACACCATCCAGGGGCCCGGGGCAGCGGCAGGGTGGAAGCCGCAGGGCACCCCCAAGCCTCTGCTCTGCCCCCCTGCCGGTCCAAGCACCGACGGGGGGGGGGCCTCAGGTTCCATTCCCTTCCCTTCCTCCCCGCAGCTGCCGATGGTGGGAGGGAGGAAGGACGGAGATGACGGGGGACGTCGGCCAGAGGGTTTAAGGGTTCGGGGCCGGGGGCTGCCACGGGCGGACGGAGCCAGGGGTCCGTGGGCGAAGGCAGTGCCGTCTGCTCTCGCAGGCACCTGCCACCCGGAGTGCGGGGACAAGGGCTGCGACGGGCCGGGCGCCGACCAGTGCCTCAGCTGTGTCCACTTCAGCCTGGGCAGCGCCAAGGCCGGCAGGTACGGCACCCACCGGGGAACTGTCTTTGCTTTCTTGTTGATCCTCTCTCCCCCCCCCCCCCCCGGGGTAATTTCCCATTGATTTTTTTTTAAAATATATTTTATTGATTTTGTACAGAGAGGACGGGAGAGAGAGAGAGAGCTAGAAACATCGATGAGAGAGAAGAGTCATCGATCAGCTGCCTCTTGCACATCCCCTCCCGGGGATGTGCCCGCAACCAAGGCACATGCCCTTGACCGGAATCGAACCCGGGACCCTTCAGTCCCCCAAGCCGACGCTCTATCCATTGAGCCACACCGGTCCCGGCTGATCATCATTATTAATTATTATTATTATTTAAGAGCGTGGAAGAGGGAGGGAGGGAGGGAGGAACATCCATGTGAGAGAGACCCGGGCCGGGAATGGCACCGGAGGCCACCCCGTCGGTGCTTGGACCGGCGCCCTAACCACTGAGCTTCACCAGCCCCGCCCCTCACTCGCCTCCCCGGGCCCGGCGTGGCCGTGGGGCGGGGCTGAGGGGCACGGTGCCCTCTGCTCTGGCCCGGCAGGAAGTGCGTGAGCGTGTGCCCCGCCGGCTACTTCGGGGACGCGGCCGCCCGGCGCTGTCGCCGGTGCCACCGGGGCTGCGAGACCTGCTCGGGCCGGAGCCCCGCCCAGTGCCTGTCCTGCCGCCGCGGCTTCCTCCTCCACCAGGAGGCCGGCGCCTGCGTGAACCGCTGTCCGGCCGGCTTCTACGCGGCAGAAAGTAAGTTCCACCCCCCCCCACCCCTCGGGCAGTGCGGCTAGCGGTTAGGGCGCCGGCCTCTCGAACCAGGAACCAGGAACCAGGAGGCGTCCCCCGGTCGGTTCCCCATCGGGGCGCAGGCCCCGGTTGCCGGCTCCATCCCCGTCCTGTAGGGGGTGGTGTAGGAGGCAGCCCATCCGTGATTCTCCCTCGTCACTCATCCGCGTCTCTTCCCCCCTCTCCGGGACCAGTCCACGCTAACAATGAAAAAGACTAAGACGCGAACTGACTGTACCTTCCCGGCGCCCACCCACCGGCCGGTCATCAGGAGGGGGGTCTGCAAATGAGCCCGACCAGGATGGCGGGTTCATTTGCATACACGGGCACCGCGCGGCGAGGGCCGGCAGCCAGAAGCAAGGCCCGTTCTTGCACGGGTCTTCGTGCATCGGGCCCCTAGCGGAAATCTACATAAAAATATAAATTAATTATATTTTATTAATGACACGTCGGCCGCCTTGCTGGGCCGGGCCGGGAAGGGGGGGGTCCCCCCTTTCTGGGGTGGATTTCCCACGCCGGCCTGGCCTGCTGGCCCGGATTGGGTCGCACCCATTCTCCCCCTCCCTCCCGCCCCGACCCCCTGTCTCTAGGCCAGAGGAAGTGCCTGCGGTGCCACCCCAGCTGTAAGAAGTGCGTCGAGGACCCCGAGAGGTGCACCGTCTGCAAGGAAGGGTTCAGGTGAGGCCCGGGCGTCGGCCTCGACCTGTGAACCAGGAGGTCACGGTTCTGTTCCCGGCCGGCGCACAGGCCCGGGTTGGCGGGCTTGATCCCCAGTGGGGGGCGTGCAGGAGGCATCCGATCCGTGATTCTCTCTCACCGTGGGTGTTCCTCTCTCCCCCTGTCCGTTTCTCCCAGAGATGAATAAACACATTTTTTTTATCTGCCTTTCCCTCCCCCTTCCCCCCCACCCACTGACAGCCTGGCCAGGGGCACCTGCCTTCCCGACTGTGAGCCGGGCACCTACTTCGACTCGGAGCTGATCCAGTGTGGGCAGTGCCACCCCACCTGCAGGACCTGCGTGGGTGAGTGCACCGCTGCCGGGCCCGACAGTCCTGGAACCCGGGCCGCCCGGGGGTGGGTGGGTGGGTGGCTCCCCATCTCTTGGGGCCTCCTGGGGTTGGCCGTGAGGTTTGCAGGACCGAATACCAAGATTGGGGGCCAGGAGGTGCTGTGTGTGTGGGGGCGTGAAGCGTGAATTGGGGGCAGATGCAAAGGTTCCGGGGCCCCGGCCGGTGCTGGCCAGTGGTCAGAGCGTCACCCTGTGAACCGGGAGGTCCCGCCCCCCTTCAGAGGGCGGAGCCACCTGGGGGAGGCTCTCGCAGGAGCAGGGCCTGCTGGGAAAGGAAGGATTTGGAATCGGGGCCCGGGAACTTTTATTTTTTTATTTCCATAGGTATATATGTGTGTATATAGATAGATGGTTTTGTTTGTTGTCTTCGTTCTGTCTGGGTCGTGGCCCCCGGACGCTGAGCCAGGACCCCGGCGCCCAGGCTGCAGCGGGCCTGGGCGGGAGGGGGGCTGCCCCTGATGTGGCTCCTTCGCCCATTCCCGCCCCCCAGGCCCCAGCAGGGAGGAGTGCATTCACTGTGCCAGCGGCCTGCACTTCCGGGACTGGACGTGTGTGCCCGCCTGCGGCGAGGGCTACTTCCCCGAGGCGATGCCCGGACTGCCCCACAAGGTCTGCCGGAGGTGCGTGCCTGCCTGTCTGTCTGTCTGTCTGTCTGTTTTAATAATTTTAAAATACATTTCATTGATTTTTTTTTTTTTTTTTTTACGGAGAGGAAGGGAGAGGGATAGAGAGGTAGAAACATCCGTGAGAGAGAAACATTGACCAGCTGCCTCCTGCACACCGCCTCCTGGGGATGTGCCCGCCACCAAGGTCCATGCCCTTGACCGGAATCGAACCCGGGACCCCTCAGTCCGCAGGCCGACGCTCTATCCACTGGGCCACACCGGTCAGGGCTGTCCTCCTTCTTTATTGATTTGTACTGATTGTTGATGACAGAGAGGATGGGAGGGCGAGGGAGAGAAACATCAGATGAGAGAGAACCGTGGATGGGCTGCCTCCCTGGGGTCATGCCCGCACCCCGGGCGTGTGCCCCGCCCGGCCAGACCGGCGTCGGGGCCTCCCGGAGCGGGGGGCCTGGTCCCCCTCCGGCCGCGGGAACCCTGGCCCCTGATTGTCCCCCCGGCAGGTGCGACGAGAGCTGCCTGAGCTGCGAGGGCTCCAGCCGCAACTGCAGCCGCTGCAAGGCGGGCCTCACGCAGCTGGGCACCTCCTGCGTCGCCAACCACACCTGCAGCAACGGTGAGCGGCGGGCGGGACGGGCGGGCGAGGCTGGGCCCCGCGGCCGCCCCCCCAGTCTGACCGGCCCCCCCCTCCCGCCAGCCGACGAGACCTTCTGCGAGATGGTGAAGTCCAACAGGCTGTGTGAGCGCAAGCTCTTCATCCAGTTCTGCTGCCGCACGTGCCTCCGGGCCGGGTAGAGGCTGAGGCCAGGCTGCCCCTGTCCGCCCGTCCGTCCGACCGTCCGACCGTCCGTCCGACCGCCCGCCCGCCTCCAGGCTGAGGGCGGCGCCCGCCTCTGACAGCTTTACCGCCCGCGGGCCCAGGGCCGGTGGCCGCAGCCGCTGTGGGCGCCCGGCCCTGGGGGGGCGGTGGTGGTGGCCCCAGGCGGTGCCCACAGAGACGTCCCCTCCGGCTAGCACCCCAGTGGGCACCTGGGCCCCGCCTGGGCACCCCCACGTTTACCGAGTCTTCAGACCAAAGCGAACGGCAGGCACGGGGCCTCCCGCCACTGCTCGCCGGGGTTCGAGCATCTCCAAGGTCAACCTCGGCCGCCTCCGGGCTGGCCGGCCGGCGGGACCCTGGGCCCAGCCCCCCGAGCCGTCGGGCGGGGACCCTGTGCCCCGGGGCAGGTGGGGGTCTGTGTCTGCATCGTCCCCTGCGGTGGCCCAGGCCCCCGGCCCCAGGGGAAGGGGCTTCCCATCCCAAAGGCCCCCCCGCCGGGGAGTGAGCTGCCCCCGGGACTCCCCCCCCAGGGCCCGGCGCCCAGCGGGGTCCCCGAGGGGTCCCCTCGGCTGCACCTGCCGCTGCCAGCCTGTGTCGCCGTGTGCCTCACCGGCTCCGGCTCTCGCCGGGGGTCCCTGTGGACCGAGCCCCGAGATTCCCCCGGAAATGCACCAAGCGGCTCCCGGGCCGGGGGCAGCCTTTGCCTTAAACTTCCTCTCGGGCTGCTCCGGCTCCCCCCCAACCCCTTTGGACTTGTCCTGGGCCGATGGGGGCCCCCTCGGGGGTGGATGGAACCCCCGACACCGAGGGACACGCCCTCGGAGCAGAGGCAGTGTCCGCCCTAAGTTAATAAAAGAGTTAACAGCCCACACAGCCCAGAGTCTTTATTCCCGGGCTCAGCGATGACACCGGGAACACGGGCCAGTGTGGCTCAGTGGTTGAGCTTCCACCTAAGAACCAGGAGGTCATGGGTCTGATTCCTGGTCAGGGCTCAGGCCCGGGTTGGGGGACTTTTTGCAGGAGGCAGCAGATCCATGAGTCTCATCATTTTCTCTTTCTATCGTTCTCCCTCCCTGAAACATTTTAAAAAAATATATATTTCTTTAAAAAGAGACACACACAGTGGCGGCAGAGGAGGTGGTGTCCTCTCTGTGTAAAACCAATAAAATATATTGAAAAAATAAATTTCCTTAAATCCCGGTCAGCATAGCGGCAAGTACACATATGTGGATGGATGCATGTGCGATTTTATGATACGGATGCTATTTCGAATAACAATCTTCAAACTTCATGTCCTATTTTCTGAAAGCGTTAACATCATAGATACTTTAACGCCTAAAAACGGCGAGTTTAAGGCCAAAAAAAAAGCATTTGCGGGAGGTTTTGGTTCATCATCAATAGCGGCATCTATGGGGGGGGGAAATCCTGGTTATTAATCGATATATTATACCCGCTAACACCGCTTTTGTGGTGTTATGTCGCCGTCTTGTGGACACATCTGGTATTACACCGCTTAAACTTTTTTTTTTTTCTCCCCCCCCCCCCAGCCATCCCAAAGCAAACGTACAGTAAAGTGACAGGTATAGCACAGAGACGTCTCTTCACGAGCAATCTGACATTACCCGTGTGATAGCCTGTGACCCTGCAAATGTTATAATTTTTTCTCCCAAATAGCAGGGGCGATTTCCTGTAAACCAGGGCCTCCTCCTGCACAACCACCCGCATCGGGGGTTCCCTCTGATGCGTGTCTGCCCTCCAGTCCTCTGAGGGGATCGGAATGTGGCCCGTTGTCCCAGGAAAGCCCTCGGCAGGCGGCCAGAGACCCCGCCGACACCCCCTTCCCGTGAGAGGCGCACTTTGCATGGAGCCTTCGCCTCTCCCCGTTCCCCTCCTGGAACCTGTCACAGACTGGAGCCCTTTAGCGCTTTGCTGAAGCGGCGGATACTAATGTGTGGAATCGGGGCCCCTGCAGACTGCAGAGACGCCCCCCGGAAGGCATGCAGAACAGGGCACCGAGCCAAGGCGCCCCGGACCTCCGAACCCCAAGAGATGGGGAGCTGGGGGACCCCCTCCCCAGGGGTGGATCACACCCATGCAAATGCCGTGGGAGCGCTAAGTGAATGCGGTGGGAACCCTGAGTTAACAGAGTTAACAGCCCGCAGCCAAGCAGTCTTTGTCTCCCGGGCACAGCGATTGCACCTGGCTGCGCCCCAGCAGTGTGGCTCAGTGGTTGAGCCCGCCTATGCACCGGAAGGTCTCAGATCCGATTCCCGGTTCGATGCCCGGTTGGGGCCCCCACGCCTGGTGTGCAGGTGCAGGAGGCAGCCGATTCTCGCCGTGGATGTGGATCCCCGTCGCTGAAACCTATGGAAATGAGTTACTTTCTCTCAGAAATGCGGTGGGTGCCATCCAGCCGGTGTGGCTCTGTGGTGGTTTTGATCTATGACCCGGGAGGTGGTACGGTTCCATTCCCGGACAGAGCACAAGCCAGGCTGTGGGCTCCATCCCCAGGGTGGGGTTTGCATGTAGCAGCCAATGAATGGTTTTCTCTAATCTTTCGTATGTCTCTCCCTTTCTCTCCCTCTCCTTTCCCCTCTGAGATACATAACATATTGAATAAAAACATATTTTTCTTAAAGCCCGGTAAGCAAAATGGCATGTGCACATATGTGTGGCTATATATGCAATTTGGTACTTATGCTATTTAAAATAAACAATCTTCAAAACTTCATATTTTCTGAAGGCGTTAACATCATAGATAACACCTAAAAACGTCGAATTTAATGCCAAAAAAGAAGCATTTGCAGGGCTTCTTAGTTCATCATTAATAACCGCATCTATGGGGGGGAAAAATCCCTATTATTAATCTATATACCTGCGAACACCGCTTTTGGGATGTTATGTCGCCGTCTTGTGGACACATCTGGTATTGCACCGCTTAAACTTTTTTTTTCTTTTTTTTTCAGCCATCCCAAAGCAAGAGCACAGTAAAGTGACAAGCATAGCACAGAGACCTCTGTTCACGAGCAATCTGACATTACCCGTGTGATAGCCTGTGACCCCGCACACGTTTTAATTTTTATCCTCCCAAATAGCAGGGGCGATTTCCCGTAAATTAGGACCTTCTCCTGCACAACCATCCCCATCGGGGTGTTTTCGCTCTTGCGTGTCTGCCCTCCAGTCCTCTGAGGAGATTGCAATGTGGCCCGTTGTCCCGGGAATGCCCTCGGCAGGCGGCCAGAGGCCCCGCCGGCACCCCTTCCCGTGAGTCTTCCCCTCTCCCGGTCCCCCGGGACCTGTCACAGACTGGAGCGCTTTAACACTTTGTTGAACAGGCGGATACTAATTATGGAATTTGGGACCCTAGAAGCTCCACAGACGCCCCCAGAGAACGCAACCAGAATCGGGGAACGTAGCCAAAGCGCCCTGGATCTACAAATCGCAAAAGAACGGGAGTCCGGCTACGCCATTGCTTTGGCCTGGACGCCCAGCAGCGGGCTCTTTAAGCTGGCCTCAGCAATTACTGTTGCTTAGCGACAGGCGCAACGCACGCTGGGAAGTGTAGTAGCAGTGGATCCAGTGTTCTCCCGGAAGTGCGTCACGCGCCAATCGCGAAGCACGCTGGGAATTGCGTCAGCGTCGCCGCGTTGCATGCTGGGAGGTGTGTATGGCGCCGGGCGCACTGCATTCTGGGAAGGACGTCATACGTCAGTCGCGAAGCACGCCGGGAAGTGTGGCCGCGTCGCCACGTTCGTGCCGGAAGGTGCGTCTTGCGTCGGTCGCGTGGCATGCTGGGAAGTGTGGAGCTATACGGCCGGAAGTGCGGCTGTTTGGGAGGCGGGACCAGACGGGAGGCGCGTCTGGGTGAGCGCAGGGCATGCCGGGAAGTGTGTCTGAGCCCGCAGAGGGCACTGTGTGGCGGGAACCCCGGGCGCCGTGGCCGGACCAGGAGGCGGCGGGACGGCGGAGCGGATGGAGCGGGCGGCCTCGGGGGCCCCGCGGTGGGCGGGATGCGCCGGGCCGTCCCGGGCGCGTCCGGCCGGCGGGGCGGAGGGACCATCCCGCGGGCTCCTGGCCCGGCCGGCGGCTTGGGGACGGGACTGGGGTCGCTCCCGGCCCGGACCCGTGGGGCCGTGTCCGGTGCGGCCTCGGGGCGCCGGGTCTCGGTCTGATCCGCGCGGGCGCCGAGCCCGGAGTCGGGGGCCGTGACCCCAGCGCCGAGCGAGCGGCTGGTTCTCAGGAAACACGGTGCGCGATGGCGGCAGAGTGCGGACAGGGCACGTGCCGGTGCTTGGCTTTTTTGAGAGGGGTGGGGGGAGGACAGGCAGGAGGGGAGGAGAGAAACGTCAGTGAGAGAGAGACATGGCTTAGTAGTGACCACAGCACAGGATCGAACCCCTTACCCTTTCTTCTGTGGGCTGGCGCTCTAACCATTGAGCAGCACATGCCAAGGCCCGAGAACTTTTATTTTTATGAAATTAAGGTGTTCTTTTTCTCTTTTTCTTTGCCCCTTTGGTTAATCCTCACCCGAGCATATTGTTCCGTTGATTCTTAGGGAGAGTGGAAGAGAGGGAGAGACAGACTGAGAGAAGCCTGGGTGTGCCTGAGAGGCCCTTGGGGACTGGTTGCCTCCCACACGGGGACGGAGCCTGCAACTGAGGCCCGTTACTGAGACCAGAATCGAACCCAGGACCATCCATTCTGCAGGCCCATGCTCCAGCCGCTGAGCCAAACCGGCTGGGGCTGAAATTAAGACTCTTAGGGAAGGATTCCGTTCAAGGCTAACGTCCACTCTCCCGGTCCTGGCCCAGGGAGATGGCCACCATCTCTCCAGTCTGTAGGGTGGACCTGGGGTGCAGTTGAACCTGGACTGGGCTCCCATCTTACCTTCCAGCGTCCACGCCATCATCGCCCCCGACTTAGACAAGTCAGGGAGAACCTGGAGGAGTTGTTCACCCAGAGACTCACCGTCGTG